TCTTTTAATCATTTCAACAGCATTTTCTTCGCATCTTTATTGAAATATATTGTATAATTGATGTCTCTTGGTTCATATCACCATCCAAACTTCTCATGGAAGGGATAAAACTCGTACAATCAACAAATACCACCTAAGACAATTTACCCTCCGAATTTTGAATTATAAAATCAAATGACTTATGGTTCTCAACAAGCCTATACCTGAGAGAAATGAAATACCCAAGAAGGAGCATAACTAAAATTATGCAGAAGGGGAAAAGTCTTATAAAGTGCAAGTAACAACGTACAATAGTCAAGAAGAGAGCATAACATACTTGCCAAACTTTTTCTCTTAAAATAATAATAATAATAATAATAATAATAATAATAATAATAATAATAATCATAATAATAATAATCATAATAATAATAATCATAATAATAATAATAATAATAATAATAATAATAATAATAATAATAATAGAAAGAAAGAAAAAACCTATTCTGAAAAGTTCATGGATATTCTATGAGAAATTCATACCACTGGTGGTGTCCTTCAGGAAAATGTCAAGTCATGTGAAATATGCTCACTAATAGAACAAAATTTGAAGAATTAAAAGGTAGTTGTACTAAATGAAGAGGGCAGTGCAATACTGAAAAATAAGATCTAGCTAAAAGAAAAAGATCCATGCTCGTTCACTATGAGAAAATGAGCTAGGTAGAATATTATGTAACTTGGGGGCGAGCACCAACTTAATGTCTCTATCAATTTATAAGAAGTTAGGGATTGGAGAGGCTAGATCAACTGCAGTCACCATTCAACTAGCTGATAGGTCCATCACAAATCCAGGATGAACATTTGAAGACATTTTAATTCATATGGTTGATTTTATTCTTCCAAAAAAAAATTATCATTTTGAATTATGAACCATGATGTACCAATTATCTTGGGGAGACAATATTTAAACAATGGGTGAACACTCATTAGATATTTACAAGGGACATAACATTTAGAATGGGTGACAAGAAAGTTCAATTTAATATCAATGACTACTTGAAATATCGTAGAGGAATGCTTAGCAATTTATGAGTTGATAGAGCAACCAACGGAAGAGAAATGGGATTGTTGGGAATGTGAGCAAGAAGAAGACAACAATGGGAGTAATTCCACTAAACAATTAACATTTTTAGATGAATTCAGATGGTTTATGTTATGAATGTAAATCATGGGGACATCATGCATATATGTATGTCATGTGCATCCGGATACTTCCCTTTATGTTATGTTAGTATTGACGCGTATGTTCAATGTTTATGTTTGCAATGATATAATGCGAGCCTTTCCTTTTTTGTGGCATATGGCGACATGTTAACCCATTGTGCCCAACCAAGCCAGACTCAAGGGATATGCATACGAGCCTGCCTGGTGGTTCCACATGCGCGTGCGTGAGCCATGTGTGGGGAAGTACCACACATTTAACCTTGTCTAGAACTGGAAAGAGTCCAAGACCATGTTATGGTTTTAAAAGATACATTCAGTCATTATATGTATGTGATTGCCTTACTAACCCCAATAGAGGGGTAGCACGTAACTTGTGTATTTTCAAGGTAAAGGTAAAGCGTCCCTGCACGGATGACGGTGAGTGCTAGAATGACCATGGAAGTCAAGATAGGGCAATAGCATGCATTGATTTTCATTTGTTAATTGATAGGAGGTTTATTTCATTTTTCGTGTTCAAAGACTATGTAATTTCTATTTTCTTATTTTAAATTAAATGTGTAAGTCCATGATTTCATGTGTAAGGCATGTATGTAGTAATGTCTCTAATTTAGGCAAGAAAATTAGGGGCGTTATAGTCACGCTGTCATTCAAGTAGCTGTGGTTGTTACACTCCCAAGCTTACATAGGTTACTTCGGGTAAAGTCTCAACTCTATGGAGAATAGGCGGGACTATGTAATGTCAGTATTAATAGTAGTAATGTCTCGGTCTCATAATCAATTGGGATTTCAAGTTACTTCTTATGAAAATTGCTTACAGAGATATCATACAACTATTGGTGTGACGTTGTTCGCAAGTTTATATTGAAATAGATAAAGGCGCAATGTGCTATGATGAGGTAGGCAAATGTGAACAGTTAGAACAAGAGTTAGTCTAAGACACCAATGAGGTCATGTAAAAGATTAAGGAAAGAATGTGCATGACTCAGAGTAGACAGAAGATTCATGCCAACGTGAGGAGTAGAAACTTGGAGTTTAAGGTAGGCGATAAGCAGTTTTCGACTAAAGGGCAAGCTAAGCCCATGATTCGTCAGACCCTTCGATATTCTGGGTTGGATCGGATCAATGACATGCAGTTTAGCCCTACCACTATTTCTCTCTATGGTGCATAACGTATTCTACTTATCCATACTTCGCAAATACTTGATTAACTCGGCACACATTATAGATTACGAACCTCTCTAGATAGATGAGACTTTGAATTATTCTAAGCTTAAGTTACTTTCGAGGATGAAAGTTTCTTTTAGATTTGTATTACCTAACAAACGAAAATTAGAAAGAAAAACAGTTGTTCCACATCGATTAGATGGAGAACGTGGAAAGTTATAATCTAATAGAAAAGAGCAGTCTTTTGACTTACTAAGTCACAACAACTACTCCATTTCATCTCACTTTGAGGATTTGAAGAGTCCATGTTCTAGTGGCTCCAACTCGACTTCTTGACGATTTTGAGCCAGTCAAAGAATCCATGTTCTAACGATTACAATTCGACCTCTCAGTTGATCTAGCTCAGACTTGATATTTTCAAACACTTTCCTACCATTTTAAACTCTTTGAGAGCCATTTCTGAACTTTTGAGGTGTTTGAGGTTAATATGGCTACTACTTTGCTAATTTAAATTATCTAGGGTTAAGTTTGGATTGCATGCATGCAACTAGATAAGCCAATTTACATGGTAAAATTCTTAATTATGATTGTGGGATTTCTATGGTGGAATCAGATTTCAATGAGTAGTTTTAAGCTAACATCAAAGGTGTATAGTGACTCCTTCTCATGCCAACCAGGTAAGTGGTTCTATCGTTGGACACCCACGGGCTTGGTTAGATGACTAATTTACTGTATGAATGACACATACCATGTAGTCTTGTACATGTCATATTTTATGGTGCTATGATGTATGATGTGTATTATGTTATGTGACGATTTATGCTATAATATGAACTATGATATGATATGAATGTCATAGGCATAGTGTGAACATGAAAAGATACATCCCGTACATATAAATGAATGGAGGTATGATTTGTATCATAAGTATGTACCATGATTTGAAACTAACAGATGTTTCATGCATCAAGATACTTCCTCACACTTTTAAGATTGAAGATTATCCCCACAGACCAACACACATTCTCGTACAACATGGTCAAATTACTTGCTCCACACTTCTAAGATTGAAGATTATCCCCACAGATCAACACAACATCCTAAGAAAATTTCTAGGAAGTCACCAAATGGCAAATCACGCTTAACTTTCGAGTTCTTATGATTAAGTCGTCAAAAAAGACGGTGCACCTGGTTGGCATACACAGAAACGAAGACATCAACTTTTGATCTCTAACTTTTTGTCGAAGACTCCTCTCATTCATTGTTTTCATCTTCCACAGACAATCATACAATTTCAAAATTAATGCATGGGATGACAGATATCAAAGCTAGGTACAAGAAGTTGGTGTATTTTTTATGGGAAAGTTATTGGGTTTGGTGATACTTCAAATTCAGCTGCAGTCAAGCTTCTTACATCCCACTTATCAGTATTTAAAATTCTCCTGCAGACATGGACTACACACTGTCTCTCCCTCTGCATTCACCCAAGAACGAACTAATCACCCTTCTGATACACTTTAAATTTAAAATAAAAAATAATTTTTTTTCTTCGGAAAATTGAAAAATAAAAAATTAACAAACAATTTCGAATTAATTCGTAGTCTATTGATGAAGAACGACAATTTAGATGAACATATTGATAAATATGATACCGTTGATAACTTTGAATGTGAGTAAATCATAGCTCAATCGATTTGCCTGTTAATAGTAGGGTTATACATCTCCTACCTCTCGATACTTAATGCAACGTATTCGATTTGAATTCATCTTCCATTATGTACCTAATATTTCATTCTTCCATCTTCTTCAATGTCACTTTATGTTCTTGAATCGCCTCTCTCATAGGCTCTACTCATCTTCCGCTATTTTGGAATATGTATAGATATTTACCTCATTTACACGGTTTTCGTTTTTGAATGTCAATTTTTTTAGAGATGGTAGGTAAGATCTATACATTGCTATGTGTTATTTAAATGATGTCATTTCTTAACCTATCCTAAATAGACAACGCCATAGTTATTACATATTTGTTTGACAAAATCAAACAAACCCAATTGTCGTAATCGAGTTATTCTTTTAAGCGGTTGGGATAAGATGAAAAAAGTGTAATATTGTGACCGACATCTTGAATTACAATAAAATTATTAGGTTTTGGACAATATTTGAAACAACGTGTTTGTGATAGTTGGCAAACGAGTCTATTAGTTGAGAAATAATTGAATTACGCCTTACCGACATTGAGTCAACCTTAAAATTATTGTAAATATATTTTATATGGTAAATGTATGCAACCAAAATATGTCGAGAAGTTATTTTTTGGAAAGTGTGATGCTACAAAAAAAAATCTATATCGATAATTGAGCCAAAGTTTTTAGAAGAATAATTTTGTTACAAACAATTGTAACACGAGAGTAATAAGGTGCCCTTTTTACTTTGGTGGCTATATAGGTCGAAAATTAACTGTGTTTTACTTGAAATAATTTCCTATGAATTTTTCTGGGAACAAATTTTGCTAAAAGAGCTCTTTGATCTAGAAAACGAGTAGTAAGTAATCTAACCATACCGTTGACTCTCCGATGCAAGAAATAAGTAATCTGAAAGGACTCGTTACTCAAGAGTAAGTAACCTGATCATGTCGCAGGAGAATGTCGGGTCCATCAAGTACCGAATCTGGATTTCAAATCCTAATCTGAATCTTGAACATGAATCGTTACAATAATGCAATATATTCGATCCTAATTTTGAGCCATTTTTATTATGACTAATTTTTTTTTTCAAGTTATTTTAATTTTTTTAGGGTAGGGGCTACCTGGTTGAGATGGTTCCAACTGTCCATGCACGGTAGAGACATCAATTAAATTAAAAGGTCAGAATTATAATAAATATAATAGCAACTTTAGAAAAAAATAATAATAAAATATTATTGTTTATTTTTTCAAATAATAAAAAATAAAACATTTTTAAAATATCCAACTAAACATTTAACAATAAAAAAAAAATCAAATAAAAAAAATCAAATCTTATTGAGACCGTTTTCCTTTGGACATCAATCATTTCTCGAAATATTTATTCAAATCATTTTTTTAATAAATATTTAATTATAAATAATTCTTCATTAATAAAATCTTCAAAAAAAAAAATAATATTCAATAAATAAAATAAATTTTGCAGTTTTATTTTAAGCACGAAATGGATTACCGACGAAGTACGAATTTGATTATTAATTTTTTAAACAATAATGACTCGAAAATCAAAATCATAACAAAAGTGGTAGAAATAGAAACATTAAGAATAACAATAAATGCATGAACGAGTAAATAAAAAGCCTAAAGAGTAGGAAATTCAGTCGAGGCTCACATAAGTATTGACCTAAAGATGAGTATTAACTCCTACCTGGATTGATAGCAGGCTACCATGATCGTCGTCTTGATCGGTATCAGTTTGGTGGAAGAACACGAATTCGGGAAGAAAATGAAAGAAGTGGAGGAGAAAAAATAGAGAGAAATATGAAGAGATGAGCAAAGAACTAGAATTAGAGATGCTTCAAATGAAGAAAGTATAGGAAGTATATATAGTTAGTTGTAGGTACTGAGTTTGAACAGTGTTACAAAATTGACACCGGGAAACTCTTGTCTCTAAATTTTTTGTTATTTATTATTATTCAAAATTTGGATAAAATTGTAAATTTTAAATTTATGGATCACATAAAAACAAAATTAGTATAAATTTAACCAAAATCAAATTTATATTCAAAACTATGGAGCAAAATGTAAGAATGAAATCTATTTTTTTTTTTTTTTCACTAAACTCATGTCCTTGACGGTTTGAAATAGCTTGTAGCTGGAGAAAGTAGATTGTGACCCTCACACGCAAGACAGACAAGGGACAACCCTCAATTGGCCCTTATCCATCCACGTGAAAGCCAAGATAGACAGGTGGCATGAGGTGATCAAGAAGAACGGTGCATCATCCAACATACTAAAAGTGTGCATTTAAGTTAAGCTGAGGTATATGCAAGGTTTTGAGAGAATGAGACGATACAAGTGTCGAAAACAAGCTCGAAGAGGATCGTATAAGGCCCTGAGTCATAACCTCAGAAATCAGAGTTTGTGTCTCTGGAATTAAGTCTATCAATATTAAAGATAAAAGCTCACCAAATTTCGTTTTAATCGGATACTTGACGAGCGCTCCATGGGACTGTATGACCGCTAGCCAAAATGACGTCTACTCCAAAAGATTGGAAATGCCTCAAAGTGCACCCTAGGGGAAGTATGGTATCAGTTCTCCACAATCCCTAGGCCTTGTAGCCTAAGCAAGCTACCCTTTGGCACATACGTGCGTTACAGTGTGGGTGAGCGCTATGAGACAAGCGCCTTCCTTTGAAATGAGTCTTTTAGGGATAATGTCACATGGCATGGGTGTGTCGACAATGCACCCTAGTCCATGTGTCAAAGGTTAAATTATGCACTCACTATCTCAAACGGATTCCATAAATGATTTAACATGGACACAGGAGGATTCAATGCCTCAATAGAATCTAGATGGATAGATGCTTGGGATGTCTCGATGAGATGAATGATATGTCGGTCAGTTCCGATTGATATATCCGAACAAGTAAAGATGGTCGAGCTATCCTAAGACATAGGATGACATCACGATGCATGGATCATTTGATGAGAATCTAGATGATTATGAGACGCGGCGTTGCGCACGAGAGACCATGGCCTAGAGTAGTGCAAAGTTGAGTCAGATGGCTGACCTAATGTAGAGAGGTAAACTGGCTAGAGTCGCATACAATTGAACATATACTCACAAACATCGTGTGTGACTGAACAAGCTTGGATTCTACACGAGTTGTGTTCGGATGGCGAAGGAGAGCCTCATCTAAGGTTCGACAAAGCCATGAAGATGAGTGAAAAATGTGAATAGGACTTTAGTTCCCCCTGAGGCTTATCATGACAGTGTCAAGATCATGACACCACACAGTTGAAGAAGAAAAACTCGTTATAATTTTGGGTATATAAATATAAGGGTGTTCGTTTCACCTACTAACTTGATCAATATAGATTACCCAACCCAAATTATAAAAATTGAGTTGAGTTGAATTTTTGAAAAACCGAAAATTCAGTTCAGTTTGTGGGTTGTAATGTTTTTGGTCGAATCAACCTGACCAACCTAAAAATAGTGTTACAACCTAACTCCACGAAACCTATACAACAATAAACTTGAATTATGTAGCGGTTTTCGAGCTCGATTTACATTCCAAATCACTATCATACTGTTTCGAATCTCAAATATCCGTCAACCACGATTATCAAATATTTATGAAAGTTTGTAGGTATTATTACAAGATTTCCATTCCAATTTTGAAAAGATTCTTAGTGATTCTTTTGCAGTCATAGTAAGTTTTACAATCCAATCATTGATGAGTTGAAAGAAAAGTAGAAAGAATACAATCAAGTGTGTAGGTTTAAATGGGGTCTGAGATTGTCAGATGAAGATGACAAATGTGTGGTCCTAATATTATTATTATTATTATTTTTTATTATTATTATTTAGAAATGTAGATGAAAAAAGTAATTACGTATCTTAGTGATGATAAAGTGACATTGATGCGTGAAACATCTGTCTTTGCTCCTCTGCTGAACCCTAATGAAGGTGGTAGCGATGGCGGTAGTTGGCTGTCACCCGCCATTAATTCTATCATCCTCATACAACATATATTTTTATGAACCTACCTAAACCTATACCTATGCCTTACAATATCATTTATATCCGTTTCTTCTCGATCTTTATAGGTAACCATTTTGGTTTCGTTTGATAATTATTTGATTTTAGGGTTACCCTTCAGAGGGTCAAGGTCGCAAAACCCTGTGGACGTCGTGATTTGTTGGGTTGTGGTATTGCTCGTTGTTACTATTGATCGAAGAACAAAGGGTGGTTAGAGAAGAAGGACGAAGAGGAGTGTCGATTGGAAGAATAAAGCTCATTCGGTGAGTTTTACGATCGAAAGAGGGGTACGAGAGCGAGGGAAATAAGTCAAGTTTTTTAGTTCGTTTTTATTTTAAGAAAAAACCAAGTAGAGGAGGAGGAAAAAAATGTTCTCTCTTCAATAACATTCAAAATGTGAGATCCGACGTCGATTAAAGAGGAGAACGAGTGCTAGCGAGGACGCTAGCCCCAAAAAGAGTGGATTGTGAGATCCCACTTCGATTGAAGAGGGGAACGAGTGCTAGCAAGGACGCTAGCCAAAAAAGGGTGGATTATGAGATCCCACGTCGATTGAAGAGGGGAACGAGTGCTAGAGAGGACGCTAGCCCCGAAAAGAGTGGATTGTGAGATCCTACATTGATTGAAAAGAGAAACGAATACAACGAGGACACTGGGTTCTGAAGGGAGTGGATTGTGAGATCATACATCGATTGGAGAGAGGAATGAGTGCCAACGAAGACGTTGACCCTAAAGGAGGTAGATTGCGAGATCACACATTGGTTGGAAAAGGGAACTAAGCATTGTTTATAAGGGTGTGGAAGCCTCTCCCTAATAGACTTGTTTTAAAAACCTTGAACGAAACTCAAAAAGAAAGCGCAAATTCGACCATATCCGCTAGTCCGAGATGATTTTACTATTTTAAAAATTTTAATTTTAATTTTAGTTTCTATTTTTATTTAGTTACACATAAAAAAAATATGACTCAAAATGTATCATGTATTTAGTAATTATAAGAATTTTTTTTTCTAATTATAAGATAATTAGAAAAAATAATAAATATTAAAAATATTCAATAGCTTTTACATAGAATTTTTAGATTAAAGGTCTTTGTCAAACATAAATAAAACCTACCTACCCACATTTTAAAACATGTTTTTTTTTTATTTAAAACCCTTAATTGCTATAGTTGAACTTGAAAACTAAATAAAAATTTCTTTTTTTATTTAGACATTACGAAGAACATCTGTCAATTTTTGTATAATATTTTGGAAATTTATGCTAAATTAAAACTATAACTACACAACCATAACAACTAAACAATAATTAAACCTTAAAATGCTAAAAATATAGAATTTGAGTTAAAAAAGTAATTAAATTCTCATTTAATTGTGTAGACATAGTAACAAAATATATATATATATATTATTTAAGAAAACTGTAAAGTCGGTGAATTAATAATTAATAGTACGAATTTCAAGGAGAATTTATGATAAAATTTACTCGTAGGTGTGACTTAATGTTACTGGACCAACTCATCAGGTTTTTTTCCATCAATCTCTACCAGGCACACACTACAACTCCATATTTATACCCTTCTTATTTTTTAACCCTAAAATTAATAAATATTTTATTTCAAAAATATCTTTAAATTTTTAAAAAATATTTAGAAAGTATCACTTTTTTAACTCTTTGGAAATATCTTTACTGTTCATATGAACCTGACCATTTCTACCGCGTTTCAAAAATGAAATTAATATCCTTAAACTTTTAGGAAAAAATATAAAAAAAAATTTGGAGATAATCTATGAAATATAAATAGACGATAAAAATATGTTAATTTTATTTTTATAAAATTAAGATAGAAGGCTGTGTAGGTATTAATAAAATTATTTAAAGTTATAGAGTATTTTTAAATATTTTAAATAAAGTAAAAATGGTTTCTATATTATTTTGGGTATTTTTATTAATATGATTCATTTAGACTAATAAATGGAGTTAAAATAGACTATTATAAATAAATAGACAATAATTCATTTCAAATAGTTACAATATAAAATTTTATGCATAATATCATAAATCAAATATATAAACGTTGGTGACGTCATGATATTATTTAAAAAATAATAAATGTAATCTTAAAGTGTTTTGAAATAAATTTAAATCTTTAATTAAAACATTTTTGTTAAAAGAAAAATACCCTAAAAATGATTGGAGTAGGTCTTTCAAGAACTATTAAAGACATGTCGGCTTTATAACAAGATTAGGAGCATGTTCGAGAGGTATTTTTAAAATGACTAAAACTCTTTTTTTTCACTGTCAAAATCAATATTCGAAGATAAGGAATATCATTTAAAGTATAAAAATTAAACGATAATGGATTTTAGACTACCACGTACATGCTCGAAGAGATTTTAATCACTAAAATCACTTCTAAACATGTCGAGAAAATTTAGCAAAAAAAAAAAAAAAATTAAACATCACCCTTGACCACCATGCAATATTAGTTCAACATATTAATAAAGTAATCACTTACGAAGCATCTTGAATGATTAGATCATCATTATCATGAACAACTGATTAAATATATGTTTTGAAGAATTAAACTCACAAATCTCAAAGGAATAACGTAGGAATTTAATGAACTCCATCTTGGTTTCTTTTCAAGCCAACTTTTTGGGCGCCGTCTTTCCATTTCCACCATAGTTCTTAGCATGAAAATCAGAGAACAAGGCCAGAAGCGAGGAGTAAAACACGACATTAAAGCACCATCCCCACACACCAGCACAGCCAGATCCTTTATGAGTGACATGAAAATAAAGCATCAAAGCCAACACCACGAAGCTAAACTGAAATTGCACAATTTGACACTCGGTAACAAGCCGTTTCCACCGTGGTCGAACCCCGAGCGCGCACGACAAATAATACGTATACATCAAAACATGAACCGACGAGTTCGTCACCAGAACCAATGGAAACAACGATTGAGATGAATGTAGCCATAGATAACACATGATCACCACTGTCGCGTGGTGGTACACGTGAAGGAACGTAAGACGTTTGATCGAACCACTGAGGATGATCAAGAACGTGTCGATGAATTCCACGATCTTCGAGAGGTAGAACACGTAAGCCCAGAAGAAGAGTGGACCTTGTGCGGGTGTTTTTGGAGGTAGACATAGGATGTAGTGAAGGTGGGGAGCGTGGGAGAAGGTGGCGAGAGTGCAACCGAGGGCCATTGTGAAGGAGAGGACGAGAAGGACGAGGTTGTGGACGACGGTGATTCGCTTGAGAACGGCGGGACGGAGGTGGGGGAGGGTTAGGTTGGAGAGGAGGAAGGTCAAAGAGAGATAGGATACAACCGTGATTGTGAGGAAGAGTGGGGATGAGCCTAGGGTTTCCCCTTGAGACCATGAGAAATGGAGAATGTTTGGATGGTTTACCAACCAGTAATGGAGTGTATCTGAGATTTGCATACTCATTTTCACAAAGTCCTGAAAGAGTGGGAGAGATTGAAGGGGTATAAATTGAAGGGGAGGGTGTGAGAGCTTTTGTGTTGGGATGGGATGGTCCTAGTTGATAGCTGGAAACATGTCAGCTTTGGTTATTGACCATTGCCCTTCGTATTTATAAGTCATGAAGAGGGGAAAGAGAAGGCTTATTCACTACTACAAATTGGTTCTCTCTCGAGATTAGTGATGGGGTATGGGCTAGGGTGCTGCCAATGTTGTTGGGGGAAGTGGTGCACTTTGATGGCGATAATTAAGATGAAAGAGAGAGAGAGAACTAAAGGGCTATGGCCAACGTAGAATGGGGAAACATACCACTTTCTCTCATCTACCCTCCTAATTATCCATTAAATGTTTGCTCTCAAAGTGGAGTTTTTTCTCTCCTAATCTTTCATTGGGATGTGGTTCCTAGAGATGGAAGTGTTACTTTGAGATTCATTGTGGGTTATTTGGGGAAAGTGTGATGCATGTTCTTACTAGAGATGGAAGTGTCTTTTGATTGGGAGGAATGTTTTCTTGTAAGATTGCCTTTTAGAGTATAAGTTGCCTTGGTTGCCTTGGTTGCCTTGATTTGATTTTAATGATACAAATGAGGATTTAGCAGATAAGTTGTCGTGAAAAATTTTAATTATAACTTGAAGTGTTCTGACATGGAGCGTGTGACATGGAGCCTGATGTCTATTATAGTAAAAAGTTGGTAGAGATATATTTGATAGATATTTAGATAGTAGGGGGTTATATCGGTTAAAACCATATATATAATAAACTGAAATCATATATATACCCTTAGGAAGTGGTTTGAAGGTGTACTCTCTTCATTCTCAGTATTGTCTATTGATGTAGGTATCTGAAGTCATCAATACAAATCTTTTAGCCAATATTCTTCCATGCCTTTTCTCTCTCTTATTTCTTTGTGTTCATCTTGATGAGTGTGTGCATTGTTGTCTGATCCTAACAACTGGTATCGGAACTAGGCAAAATTCAGGACAATTTGTGAAGATGGAAATTTTAAAGATTTGAATTAAGAAGTTTAATGGATCCGATTTTAGTTTCTAAAAGATGCAGATTGAAGATTATCTGTACCACAAATATCTTCACGAACTCTTGTTGGGGTAAAGTTGGATACCATGACCATGGAGCAGTGGAAGCTCAAGAATCGGTAGGTCTTAGGGTTGATCCGATTGACAATGTCCAGAAATGTGGTGTTGAACATCATTAAGGAGAAGACAATGTCGAATCTGTTGAAGGCATTGTCGAATATATACGAAAAAACGTAGGCTATGAACAAGGTGTATTTGATCCAGAGGTTGTTCAATCTACAAATGTCTAAAGGTGGATCTGTTGTAGATCATATAGATGAATTCAATATGATTGTAAGTCAACTGAGTTCAGTGGACATTAATTTTGAAGATGAAATAAAAATATTGATTTTGATGTCATCTTTACTCGAGTCATGGGATAATATTGTTGCCGCGATCAGTAGTTCCCCAGGTAGTGCTCTCAGCATTGACGAAAGGGGAAGAAGTGAATCGAAGGGCCCAAAGAAAGGTTGATCAAAATCAAAGAACCATGGAAAATTTTCAAACAGACCAAATGTAACGTGTTGGAGTTGTGGAGAAAAATGTCACTTTCGGACATATTGTACAAAACCAAAGAGGAAGCAAAATCACAAACTAGAGGATGATAATGATTTGATAAATTCAGCAGAAGACATTGGAGATTCTCTAATCCTTAGCATGGACAGTCCGACTGAATCCTAGATTTTGAATTCATGTGCATCTTTTCATTTGTCTCAAAATAAGGAGCTGTTTCAGAATTTCAAATTTGAAAATTTCAAGAAGGTGTATCTTGCTGACAACAAAGCTTTGGAGATTGAAGGAAAGGGGATGTATGCATAAAAACTCCGGAAGGAAATCAGTGGACATTAAAAGATGTCAGATATATTCCTAATCTCAAGAAGAACCTGATCTCTATTGGTTAGTTAAACAGCACAGGTTATGCAATAGAGTTTGGGAAGAGTTTGTGGAAGATTGTGAAGTGTGCTATGGTGGTAGCACGTGACATAAAGTCTGGAACCTTATACACAATTGTAGGGTGCATGAGCATGGATGTTGTTGCTGAGAGTGCTTCAAATTCAAGTCTATGGCACAATAGATTTGGACATATGAGTGTTAAAGGAATGAAGATGCTGGTTGCTAAAGAAGTTTTAGAATGTCTGAAATCTGTTGATATGAGTCCCCGTAGGAACTGCATTATGAGCATACAGAAACGAATTAGCTTCACAAAGGCTACTAAAGAATTGAAGAAAGTGTGATTAGAAATAATCCATACAGATGCTTGGGGACCATCTCTAGTTCCATCACTTGGTGGATCAAAGTTCTACGTTACATTCATCAATGATTTCAGCAGGAAGGAGTAGATTTATTTTTTGAAACACAAGTCAGATGTGTTTGACATCTTCAAGAAGTGGAAAGCTAAAATTTAAAATTAGATCGGCCTAAAGATCAAATGCTCGAGGTTTGACAATGGAGGAGAGTACGACAATTCAGAATTCAAAGCATTTTGTGCAACTGAGCGAATTCGATTAATGAGGATAGTTCTCGATAAAACAAGAAAAAATGGTATTGTTGAAAGGGTGAACAGAACATTGAATGAGTGGGTAAAGAGTATGAGGATTCATTTTGGATTGCCAAAGGCGTTCTAGGTCGATGCTGTAAATACAACAATCTACTTGATCAATAGAGGGCCTAAAGATCAAATGCTCGAGATCTGACAATGGAAGAGAGTACGACAATTCGAAATTCAAAACATTTTGTGCAACTGAGGGAATTCGATTAATGAGGATAGTTTCCGATAAAACAAGAAAAAATGGTATTGTTGAAAGGGTGAACAGAACATTGAATGAGTGGGTAAAGAGTATGAGGATTCATTTTGGATTGTCAAAGGCGTTCTAGGTCGATGCTGAAAATACAACAATCTACTTGATCAATAGAGGACCGTCAGTACCCTTGGAGTTTAAGTTACTAGAAGAAGTATGGACAACAAAAAAACTCAAGTACTCTCACTTGAGAACTTTTGGCGGCACTGTATATGTTCGTGTTGATCCAGAGAAAAGTGACAAGCTTGACGCTCAGCCTGTGAAGTGTTACCTCATAGGCTATGATTTTGACATATTCGGGTACAAATTTTGGGGTGTCAAGAATAAAAGATTCCTGAGACATTATGATGTGACTTTTGATGAAAATGTATTGTACAAGAACAAAGAGAATAAAGGTTTTGGGACAACGAAGCAAGTGGGAGTCGAGGTTGAGTTGCGGAAAAATTCACTTAATGATGTTGTAGCAAATACTCAAGAAACTCCTGAGACTGTTGAACAGGTATTGAAAAGATCCTCCAGAGCTATTAAAATACCAGATAGTTATGTACCTTCATTACACTATCTATTACTAACTGATGGACGAGAACCAGAGCCCTTTGATGAGGCCCTACAGTTGGAGTACACAACTAAGTGGAAGCAAACCATAGATGATAGGATGTCTAGGCTTTAGAAATGCATTGCTCTTTCATCTACTGAGGCTGAGTACGTGGCAATAGCTGAAGCCGGAAAGAAGATGATATAGATGACAGACTATGTCGAAGAATTGGGCAAGAAGCAACATGAGAAGATTCTTTATACAGATAGTAAGTGTTTCGTACAGTTGGTGAGGAACACGGTCTATCATTCAAAGATAAGACATAGAAATCGCAGGTTAGTGGAAGATGGTGACTTGTTTGGAGAAGATAGATGATGCAAAGAATCCAATAAACATGTTGACAAAATGTGTTGATGTTGGAACATTGAGGTTGTGCAAAACCTCAATTGGTATGATGTGGTGAAAATGCTGATAGTCGTGAAAATGCTGATAGTCATTTGAGAATGAAATTCTTGGTTGACTAGATGAATCTACAAGTAGGAGAATTCTTGGGATATGGAGCCTGATGCCTAGAGATATATTTGGTAGATACTTATATATAATAGGTGGTTATATTTGTTAAAGATATATAGTAAACTAAAACTATATATATATACCCCTTAGACACTCCTTTGAAGAGCTACTCTCTTCATTCTCTGTATTCTCTATTGGTCCACGTCATCCATACAAATTCTTTAGCCAATATTCCTCTTCCTATTTTTGTTTTTGTGTTCATCTCGATGGAGTGTGTTGTAAGATCCTAACAAAAATATCTATTACTAATGAGATAGTATTTTGACCGTATTTCCAATAATTTTTTCCCAAATAAAATACCACCTATTCTACTCCCAAAATAGTGTTATATGTGTAAGTCAATAATTTTGATTTGTGCAATCAAATTTAGAAGACTTAATTGGTAAGTTTTAAATTTAGGAGATAATATCTAGATATTTTTAAATAGATAATTTTAAAAGTGTAAAAGATAAAGATGGAGGATCACAAATGTGGAGTTCATTATCTATTTTATGTTATAAATACCTTTCCACTCGTGCCATCAAGTTTTTCATACAAAAAATTCAATAAAATAAAGTGTAGCAGTATCTTGTAAGTTCTTTAGGACAGAGAAACTCTCCCGTCCCATCAAGTTAATCTCTTTCTCTTCCATTATATTCATTTTAGAGTATTCCGATCAAGGGTCAAAACCAACACTTAATAAGAGATAGGATGTCAAAATAAATATTTTCATCACAAAAAGTCGCTAGAGGAGATGTGACAAGAAGAAAAAGTGGAAAGGACAAGAGTGCAAGGATCCAGTACCCGTTACTCACAAAGAGTAACTATGCAACATGATCGATAAAGATGCATGTTAATCTACATGCACATGGCTCATGGATGACTCTTACTGCCATCTACCAAGCAGTGTTGTTGAACGTCCTTCTCATGTTGGAAAAGGACTTGACAAAGGTAACATGAAAATACGCTGTAAACAATGCATATGGGTATGGAATTGGTCAAGGAAGCTAAGGTGCATTCCTTGAAGAGTGAGTGCGAGGCTATCCCATGAAGGATGGTGAGTCGATGGACAACTTTGCCATGAAGTTGACGACGAATGTCACCAGTATCGTTCGTTATGCGACAAGATGGTGGAGAT